GAGAATGGGGCGGGGTTAAGGAAAGCGGGAGAATGGGGCGGGGTGATGGAAAGCGGGAGAATGGGGCGGGGTGATGGAAAGCGGGAAGATGGGGCGGGGTGATGGAAAGTGGGAGAATGGGGCGGGGTGATGGAAGGAGGGAGAATGGGGCGGGGTGATGGAAAGCGGGAGAATGGGGCGGGGTGATGGAATGCGGGAGAATAGGGCGGGGTGATGGAAAGCGGGAGAATGGGGCGGGGTGATGGAAAGCGGGAGAATGGGGCGGGGTGATGGAAAGCGGGAGAATGGGGCGGGGTGATGGAAAGCGGGAGAATGGGGCGGGGTGCTGGAAAGCGGGAGAATGGGGCGGGGTGGTGGAAAGTCGGAGAATGGGGTGGGGTGATGGAAAGCGGGAGAATGGGGCGGGGTGATGGAAAGCGGGAGGATGGGGCGGGGTGACGGAAGGAGGGAGAATGGGGCGGGGTGATGGAAGGAGGGAGAATGGGGCGGGGTGATGGAAAACGGGAGAATGGTGCAGGATGATGGAAAGCGGGAGAATGGGACGGGGTGATGGAAAGCGGGAGAATGGGGTGGGGTGATGGAAAGCGGGAGAATGGGGATGGAAAGCGGGAGAATGGGGAAGGTGATGGAAAGCGGGAGAATGGGGCGGGGTGATGGAAAGCGAGAGAATGGGGCGGGGTGATGGAAAGCGGGAGAATGGGGCGGGGTGATGGAAAGCGGGAGAATGGGGCGGGGTGATGGAAAGCGGGAGAATGGGACGGGGTGACAAAAAGCAGGAGAATGGGACGGGGTGATGGAAGGAGGGAGAATGGGGCGGGGTGATGGAAAGCGGGAGAATGGGGCGGGATGATGGAAAGCGGGAGAATGGGGCGGGGTGATGGAAAGCGGGAGAATGGGTCGGGGTGATGGAAAGCAGGAGAATGGGGCGGGGTGATGGAAAGCGGGAGAATGGGGCGGGGTGATGGAAAGCGGGAGGATGGGGCGGGGTGATGGAAAGCGGGAGAATGGGTCGGGGTGATGGAAAGCAGGAGAATGGGGCGGGGTGATGGAAAGCGGGGAGAATGGGGCGGGGTGATGGAAAGCGGGAGAATGGGCCGGGGTGATGGAAAGCGGGAGTATGGGGCGGGGTGATGGAAAGCGGGAGAATGGGGCGGGGTGATGGAAAGCGGGAGAATGAGGCGGGGTGATGTAAGGAGGGAGAATGGGGCGGGGTGATGGTAGGAGGGAGAATGGGGCGGGGTGATGGAAGGAGGGAGAATGGGGCGGGGTGATGGAAAGCGGGAGAAGGGGGCGGGGTGATGGAAAGCGGGAGAATGGGGCGGGGTGATGGAAGGAGGGAGAATGGGGCGGGGTGATGGAAAGCGGGAGAATGGGGCGGGGTGATGGAAAGCGAGAGAATGGGGCGGGGTGATGGAAAGCGGGAGAATGGGGCGGGGTGATGGAAAGCGGGAGAATGGGCCGGGGTGATGGAAAGCGGGAGAATGGGGCAAGGTGATGGAAAGCGGGAGAATGGGGCGGGGTGATGGAAAGCGGGAGAATGGGGCGGGGTGATGGAAAGCTGGAGAATGGGCGGGGTGATGGAAGGAGGGAGAATGGGGCGGGTGATGGAAAGCGGGAGAATGGGGCGGGGTGATGGAAAGCGAGAGAATGGGGCGGGGTGATGGAAAGCGGGAGAATGGGACGGGGTGATGGAAAGCGGGAGAATGGGGCGGGGTGATGGAAAGCGGGAGAATGGGGCGGGGTGATGGAAAGCGGGAGAATGGGGCGGGGTGATGGAAAGAGGGAGAATGGGGGCGGGGTGATAATAGGAGGGAGAATGGGGAGGGGTGATGGAAGGAGGGAGAATGGGGCGGGGTGATGGAAAGCGGGAGAATGGGGCGGGGTGATGGAAAGTGGGAGAATGGGGCGGGGTTATGGAAAGCGGGAGAATCGGGCGGGGTGATGGAAGGAGGGAGAATGGGGCGGGGTGATGGAATGCGGGAGAATGGGGCGGGGTGGTGGAAAGCGGGAGAATGGGGCGGAGTGATGGAAAGCGGGAGAATGGGGAGGGGTGACGGAAAGCGGGAGAATAGGGCGGGGTGATGGAAAGCGGGAGAATGGGGCGGGGTGATGGAAAGCGGGAGAGTGGGGCGGGGTGATGGAAGGAGGGAGAATGGAGCGGGGTGATGGAAAGCGGGGGAGAATGGGGCGGGGTGATGGAAAGCGGGAGAATGAGGCGGGGTGATGTAAGGAGGGAGAATGGGGCGGGGTGATGGTAGGAGGGAGAATGGGGCGGGGTGATGGAAGGAGGGAGAACGGGGCGGGGTGATGGAAAGCAGGAGAATGGGGCGGGGTGATGGAAAGTGGGAGAATGGGGCGGGGTGATGGAAGGAGGGAGAATGGGGCGGGGTGATGGAAAGCGGGAGAATGGGGCGGGGTGATGGAAAGCGAGAGAATGGGGGCGGGGTGATGGAAAGCGGGAGAATGGGGCGGGGTGATGGAAAGCGGGAGAATGGGCCGGGGTGATGGAAAGCGGGAGACTGGGGCGGGGTGATGGAAAGCGGGAGAATGGGGCGGGGTGATGGAAGGAGGGAGAATGGGGCGGGGTGATGGAAGGAGGGAGAATGGGGCAGGGTGATGGAAAGCGGGAGAATGGGGCGGGGTGATGGAAGGAGGGACAATGGGGCGGGGTGATGGAAGGAGGGAGAATGGGGGCGGGGTGATGGAAAGCGGGAGATGGGGCGGGGTGATGGAAAGCGGGAGAATGGGGCGAGGTGATGGAAAGTGGGACAAGGGGGCGGGGTGATGGAAAGCGGGAGAATGGGGCGGGGTGATGGAAAGCGGGAGAATGGCGCGGGGTAATGGAAAGCGGGAGAATGGGGCGGGGTGATGGAAAGCGGGAGAATGGGGCGGGGTGATGGAAGGAGGGAGAATGGGGCGGGGTGATGGAAGGAGGGAGAATGGGGCGGGGTGATGGAAAGCAGGAGAATGGGTCGGGGTGATGGAAAGCGGGAGAATGGGGGGGGGGTGATGGAAAGCGGGAGAATGGGTCGGGGTGATGGAAAGCGGGAGAATGGGGCGGGGTGATGGAAAGCGGGAGAATGGGGCGGGGTGATGGAAAGCGGGAGAAGGGGGCGGGGTGATGGAAAGCGGGAGAATGGGGCGGGGTGATGGAAAGCGGGAGAATAGGGCGGGGTGATGGAAGGAGGGAGAATGGGGCAGGGTGATGGAAAGTGGGAGAATGGGGCGGGGTGATGGAAGGAGGGAGAATGGGGCGGGGTGATGGAAGGAGGGAGAATGGGGCGGGGTGATAGAAAGCAGGAGAATGGGGCGGGGTGATGGAAAGCGGGGAGAATGGGGCGGGGTGATGGAAAGCGGGAGAATGGGGCGGGGTGATGGAAAGCGGGAGAATGGGGCGGGGTGATGGAAAGCGGGAGAATGGTGCGGGGTGATGGAAAGCGGGAGAATGGGGGCGGGGTGATGGAAGGAGGGAGAATGAGGCGGGGTGATGGAAGGAGGGAGAATGGGGCAGGGTTATGGAAAGCGGGAGAATGCGGCGGGGTGATGGAAAGCGGGAGAATGGGGCGGGGTGATGGAAAGCGGGAGAATGGGGCGGGGTGATGGAAAGCGGGAGAATGGGGCGGGGTGATAGAAAGCGGGAGAATGGGGCAGGGTGATGGAAGGAGGGAGAATGGGGCGGGGTGATGGAAGGAGGGAGAATGGGGCAGGGTGATGGAAAGCGGGAGAATGGGGCGGGGTGATGGAAGGAGGGAGAATGGGGCAGGGTGATGGAAAGTGGGAGAATGGGGCGGGGTGATGGAAGGAGGGAGAATGGGGCGGGGAGATGGAAGGAGGGAGAATGGGGCGGGGTGATAGAAAGCAGGAGAATGGGGCGGGGTGATGGAAAGCGGGAGAATGGGGCGGGGTGATGGAAAGCGGGAGAAGGGGGCGGGGTGATGGAAAGCGGGAGAAGGGGGGCGGGGTGATGGAAAGCGGGAGAATGGGGCGGGGGGTGATGGAAAGCGGGAGAATGGGGCGGGGTGATGGAAAGCGGGAGAATGGGGCGGGGTGATGGAAGGAGGGAGAAAGGGGCGGGTGATGGAAAGCAGGAGAATGGGTCGGGGTGATGGAAAGCGCGAGAATGGGGCGGGGAGATGGAAAGCGGGAGAATGGGGCGGGGTGATGGAAAGCGGGAGAATGGGGCGGGGTGATGGAAAGCGGGAGAATGGGGCGGGGTGATGGAAAGCGGGAGAATAGGGCGGGGTGATGGAAGGAGGGAGAATGGGGCGGGTGATGGGAAAGCGGGAGAATGGGGCGGGGTGATGGAAAGCGGGAGAATGGGGCGGGGTGATGGAAAGCGGGAGAATGGGGCGGGGTGATGGAAGGAGGGAGAATGGGGCGGGGTGATGGAAGAGGAGAATGGGGCGGGGTTGAGGAAAGTGGGGCGGGGTGATGGAAAGTGGAAAGCGGGAGAATGGGGTGGGGTGATGGATAGCGGGAGAATGGGGCGGGGTATTGGAAAGCGGGAGAATGGGGCGGGGTGATGTAAGGAGGGAGAATGGGGCGGGGTGATGGAAGGAGGGAGAATGGGGGCGGGGTGATGGAAAGCGGGAGAATGGGGCGGGGTGATGGAAGGAGGGAAAATGGGGCGGGGGTGATGGATGGAGGGAGAATGGGGCGGGGTGATGGAAAGCGGGAGAATGGGGCGGGGTGATGGAAAGCGGAAGAATGGGGCGGGGTGATGGAAAGCGGGGAGAATGGTGCGGGGTGATGGAAAGCGGGAGAATGGGGCGGGGTGATGGAAAGCGGGAGAATGGGGCGGGGTGATGGAAGGAGGGGAGAATGGGGCGGGGTTATGGAAAGCAGGAGAATGCAGCGGGGTGATGGAAAGCGGGAGAATGGGGCGGGGTGATGGAAAGCGGGAGAATGGCGCGGGGTGATGGAAAGCGGGAGAATGGGGCGGGGTGATGGAAAGCGGGAGAATGGTGCGGGGTGATGGAAAGCGGGAGAATGGGGCGGGGTTATGGAAGGAGGGAGAATGGGCGGGATGATGGAAGGAGGGAGAATGGGGCAGGGTTATGGAAAGCGGGAGAATGCGGCGGGGTGATGGAAAGCGGGAGAATGGGGCGGGGTGATGGAAAGCGGGAGAATGGGCCGGGGTGATGGAAAGCGGGAGAATGGGGCGGGGTGATGGAAAGCGGGAGAATAGGGCGGGGTGATGGAAGGAGGGAGAATGGGGCGGGGTGATGGAAAGCGGGAGAATGGCGCGGGGTGATGGAAAGCGGGAGAATGGGGCGGGGTGATGGAAAGCGGGAGAATGGTGCGGGGTGATGGAAAGCGGGAGAATGGGGCGGGGTGATGGAAGGAGAGAGAATGGGGCGGGGTGATGGAAGGAGGGAGAATGGGGAAGGGTTATGGAAAGCGGGAGAATGCAGCGGGGTGATGGAAAGCGGGAGAATGGGGCGGGGTGATGGAAAGCGGGAGAATGGGGCGGGGTGATGGAAAGCGGGAGAATGGGGCGGGGTGATGGAAAGCGGGAGAATGGGGCGGGGTGATGGAAGGAGGGAGAATGGGGCGGGGTGATGGAAGGAAGGAGAATGGGGCGGGGTGATGGAAAGAGGGAGAATGGGGCGGGGTGATGGAAGGAGGAAGAATGGGGCGGGGTGATGGAAGGAGGGAGAATGGGGCGGGGTGATGGAAAGCGGGAGAATGGGGCGGGGTGATGGAAAGCGGGAGAATGGGGCGGGGTGATGGAAGGAGGGAGAATGGGGCGGGGTGATGGAAGGAGGGAGAATGGGGCGGGGTGATGGAACGCGGGAGAATGGGGGCGGGGTGATGGAAAGCGGGAGAATGGGGCGGGGTGATGGAAGGAGGGAGAATGGGGCGGGGTGATGGAAAACGGGAGGATGGCGCGGGGTGATGGAAAGCGGGAGAATGGGGCGGGGTGATGGAAGGAGGGAGAATGGGGCGGGGTGATGGAAAGCGGGAGAATGGCGCGGGGTGATGGAAAGCGGGAGAATGGGGCGGGGTGATAGAAAGCGGGAAAATGGGGCGGGGTGATGGAAGGAGGGAGAATGGGGCGGGGTGATGGAAGGAGGGAGAATGGGGCAGGGTGATGGAAAGCGGGAGAATGGGGCGGGGTGATGGAAGGAGGGAGAATGGGGCGGGGTGATGGAAGGAGGGAGAATGGGGCGGGGTGATAGAAAGCGGGAGATGGGGCGGGGTGATGGAAAGCGGGAGAATGGGGCGGGGTGATGGAAAGCGGGAGAATGGGGCGGGGTGATGGAAAGCGGGAGAATGGGGCGGGGTGATGGAAAGCGGGAGAATGGGGCGGGGTGATGGAAAGCGGGAGAATAGGGCGGGGTGATGGAAGGAGGGAGAATGGGGCGGGGTGATGGAAGGAGGGAGAATGGGGCGGGGTGATGGAACGCGGGAGAATGGGGCGGGGTGATGGAAAGCGGGAGAAATGGGGCGGGGTGATGGAAGGAGGGAGAATGGGGCGGGGTGATGGAAAGGCGGGAGAATGGCGCGGGGTGATGGAAAGCGGGAGAATGGGGCGGGGTGATAGAAAGCGGGAGAATGGGGCGGGGTGATGGAAGGAGGGAGAATGGGGCGGGGTGATGGAAGGAGGGAGAATGGGGCAGGGTGATGGAAAGGCGGGAGAATGGGGCGGGGTGATGGAAAGCGGGAGAATGGGGCGGGGTGATGGAAGGAGGGAGAATGGGGCGGGGTGATAGAAAGCGGGAGATGGGGCGGGGTGATGGAAAGCGGGAGAATGGGGCGGGGTGATGGAAAGCGGGAGAAGGGGGCGGAGTGATGGAAAGCGGGAGAATGGGGCGGGGTGATGGAAAGCGGAGAATGGGGCGGGGTGATGGAAAGCGGGAGAATGGGGCGGGGTGATGGAAAGCGGGAGAATGGGGCGGGGTGATGGAAAGCGGGCGATGGGGAAAGAGGGTGATTGGAAAAAAATAGGGCGGGTGATGGAAGGAGGGAGAATGGGGCGGGGTGATGGAAAGCGGGAGAATGAGCGCGGGGTGATGGAAAGCGGGAGAATGGGGCGGGGTGATGGAAAGCGGGAGAATGGTGCGGGGTGATGGAAAGCGGGAGAATGGGGCGGGGTGATGGAAGGAGGAGAATGGGGCGGGATGATGGAAGGAGGGAGAATGGGGCAGGGTTATGGAAAGCGGGAGAAATGCGGCGGGGTGATGGAAAGCGGGAGAATGGGGCGGGGGTGATGGAAAGCGGGAGAATGGGGCGGGGTGATGGAAAGCGGGAGAATGGGCGGGGGTGATGGAAAGCGGGAGAATGGGGCGGGGTGATGGAAGGAGGGAGAAGGGGCGGGGGTGATGGAAAGCGGGAGAATGGGCGGGGGTGATGGAAAGCGGGAGAATGGGGCGGGGTGATGGAAGGAGGGAGAATGGGGCGGGGTGATGAAAGCGGGAGAAATGGAGCGGGGTGATGGAAAGCGGGAGAATGGGGCGGGGTGATGGAAAGCGGGAGAATGGGGCGGGGTGATGGAAGGAGCGAGAATGGGCGGGGTGATGGAACGCGGGAGAATGGGGCGGGATGATGGAAAGCGGGAGAATGGGGCGGGGTGATGGAAAAGCGGGGAGAATGGGGCGGGGGTGATGGAAAGCGGGAGAATGGGAACGGGGTGACAAAAAAGCAGGAGAATGGGACGGGGTGATGGAAAGGAGGGAGAATGGGGCGGGGTGATGGAAAGAGGGAGAATGGGCGGGGGGATGGAAAGCGGGAGATTGGGGCGGGATGATGGAAAGCGGGAGAATGGGGCGGGGTGATGGAAGGAGGGAGAATGGGGGCGGGGTGATGGAAAACGGGAGGATGGGGCGGGGTGATGGAAAGCGGGAGAATGGGTCGGGGTGATGGAAAGCGGGAGAATGGGGCGGGGTGATGGAAAGCGGGAGAATGGGGTGGGGTGATGGAAAGCGGGAGAATGGGCCGGGGTGATGGAAAGCGGGAGAATGGGGCGGGGTGATGGAAAGTGGGAGAATAGGGCGGGGTGATTGAAGGAGGGAGAATGGGGCGGGGTGATGGAAAGCGGGAGAATGGCGCGGGGTGATGGAAAGCGGGAGAATGGGGCGGGGTGATGGAAAGCGGGAGAATGGTGCGGGGTGATGGAAAGCGGGAGAATGGGGCGGGGTGATGGAAGGAGAGAGAATGGGGCGGGGTGATGGAAGGAGGGAGAATGGGGAAGGGTTATGGAAAGCGGGAGAATGCAGCGGGGTGATGGAAAGCGGGAGAATGGAGCGGGGTGATGGAAAGCGGGAGAATGGGGCGGGGTGATGGAAAGCGGGAGAATGGGGCGGGGTGATGGAAGGAGGGAGAATGGGGCGGGGTGATGGAAGCGGGAGAATGGGGGCGGGGTGATGGAAAGCGGGAAGAATGGGGCGGGGTGATGGAAGGAGGGAGAATGGGGCGGGGTGATGGAAGGAGGGAGAATGGGGCGGGGTGATGGAACGCGGGAGAATGGGGCGGGGGTGATGGAAAGCGGGAGAATGGGGCGGGGCGATGGAAAGCGGGAGAATGGGGCGGGGTGATGGAAGGCGGGAGAATGGGGCGGGGCGATGGAAGGCGGGAGAATGGGGCGGGGTGATGGAAAGAGGGAGAATGGGGCGGGGTGGTGGAAAGCGGGAGAATGGGGCGGGGGTGATGGAAAGCGGGAGAATGGGGCGGGGTGATGGAAAGCAGGAGAATGGGGCGGGGTGAGGGAAAGCGGGAGAATCGGGCGGGTTGATGGAAAGCGGGAGAATGGGGCGGGGTGATGGAAAGCGGGAGAATGGGGCGAGGTGATGGAAGGAGGGAGAATGTTGCGGGGTGATGGAAAGCGGGAGAATGGGCGGGGTGATGGAAGCGGGAGAATGGGGCGAGGTGATGGAAAGCAGGAGAATGGGGCGGGTGTGATGGAAAGCGGAAGAATGGGGGCGGGGTGATGGAAGGAGGGAGAATGGGGCGAGTTGATGGAAAGCGGGAGAATGGGGCGGGGTGACGGAAAGCGGGAGAATGGGCGGGGTGATGGAAAGGGGGAGAATGGGGCGGGTTGATGGAAAGCGGAGAATGGGCGGGGTGATGGAAGGAGGAGAATGGGGCCGGTGATGGAAGGAGGGAGAATGGGGCGGGGTGATGGAAAGCGGGAGAATGGGGCGGGCTGATGGGGAAGGGGGAGAATGGGGCGGGGTGATGGAAAGCGGGAGAATGGGGCGGGTGATTGGAAGGAGGAGAATGGGGCGGGGTGATGGAAGGAGGGAGAATGGGGCGGGGTTGATGGAAAGCGGGAGACTGGGGCGGGGTGATGGAAAGCGGGAGAGGGGGCGGGGTGATGAAAGCGGGAGAATGGGGCGGGGTGATGGAAGCGGGAGAATGGGGCGGGGTGATGGAAAGCCGGAGAATGGGGCGGGGTGATGGAAAGCGGGAGAATGGGGCGGGTGATGGAGGAGGGAGAATTGGGCGGGGTGAGGAAGGAGGGAGAATGGGGCGGGTGATGGAAAGCGGGAGAATGGGGCGGGTGATGGAAAGCGGAGAGTGGGGCGGGGTGATGGAAAGCGGGAGAATAGGGCGGGGTGATGGAAAGCGGGAGAATGGGGGGGCGGGGTGATGGAAAGCGGGAGAATGGGGCGGGGTGATGGAAAGCGGGAGAATGGGGCGGGGTGATGGAAAGCGGGAGAATGGGGCGGGTGATGGAAAGCGGGAGAATGGGGCGGGGTGATGGAAAGCGGGAGAATGGGGCGGGGTGATGGAAAGCGGGAGAATGGGGCAATGGTGATGGAAAGCGGGAGAATGGGGCGGGTGATGGAAAGCGGGAGAATGGGGCGGGTGATGGAAAGCGGGAGAATGGGCGGGGTGATGGAAAGCGGGAGAATGGGGCGGGGTGATGGAAAGCGGAGAATGGTGCGGGGTGATGGAAAGCAGGAGAATGGGGCGGGGTGATGGAAGGAGGGAGAATGGGGCGGGGTGATGGAAGGAGGGAGAATGGGCAGAGTTTAAGGAGGAGGGAGAATGGGGCGGGGTGATGGAAAGCGGGAGAATGGGGCGGGGTTATGGAAAGCGG